CTGTTGGGAGGGAGGGCTGAGAGGGCTCATGGCCTAAAACCTCCAAGAGTAGGTGTGGACTCAACTCTCCCTTTAATGTCCATGGGAACAGGGTCCTGACTCTAGTGCATGGAGGCCCAGCGCTGGGTGGCATGGAGCCGGGCATGGGCTGCTTCCCAAGCTGCTGGCTTCTGGCTCCAGACACCTGCCTGCCCACCACCCAGCTCCCTATAGCCCGGTTCCCCTCTACCTGGCTCTCCAAACATCATCACTGCACACAGGAGTCTCCCCCTCGTGAGGCCCAGGGCCGGCTCCGGGGCCCCGGGGCGGAGGTGCCTACCCTGGTCCTTGGCCTGGTAGTTGTTGCAAGTCTCGTCGGGAATGCCGAGCTTGTGGGCGTAGGCCCACACCAGCAGGTCATCTCCCCCCTCGCAGGAGCCGGCGTCACCACAGTCAATGACGTTCTGCACAGACAGCACGGTGGAAGGCCACGCACCCTTCCTCTTGATGTTGATCCGGTCTACAGAGAAGGGTTAAGTCAGGCCACGCAGCACCCCTGCCACTCGCCTGCCTGTGTTCCTCCTGCCCCACCCGGCCTGATGTCCATACCCCGGGGGCCTTCCTGTTCAGATGCCCAGAGATGCAGGACATGAGGACGATAGAGCCCATGTGGAGAGGGTAGGGGGGGTGGGGGGTGGGGGGAAATCCCAGCTTGGGAGTCAGTACCCACTGCAGCTGGTTCCAGACTGTGTCCAGGGTGGGTGTGGGCCTCTCACTGCCCACTTGTCTGGGCCTGGGTGCCTAACAAGCCCTGTACCCCCGAGGAGCCTGCTCCCTCTCCATACACATGCCCAAGAAGTGGAACCCCCCAGCCCCGATGGCCCCACCTCAGTTCCCTGGCCACCTCACTGCCCCCTCCCAAGGCAAGGACTTCATGCTGCACCCTACCCCCTCTCCGCTTCCTCACCCCGTCTCACCTCCATCTCAATCCTGTTTTCTCTGCCCACCAGCAGCCCCTCCACAGTGCTCCACACACTTCTGGGGTCTCTGTGTGCAGCCCCTGCCTCCGACACTGTCCCCCCCCATCTCTGTGCCTTCTGGACATCAGCAGCCACCCCCTAGGCCCTCAGCCTGGCCCCAGACGCCCCGTCTGCATCTCCTCTGCCTGGCAGGCTCTGTCCCCTGCAGCAGGCCTGCTAACATGGAGCTGGCTTCAGCAGTGGACATGTCCCCCCAAAGGTCACATCTGCCTGCAACCTCAGAGTGCAACCGAGCCTGTGAGAGGGTCCTTACAAACCCGAAGAGCCACACTCCCTGCCATCGAGTCGGTGCCGACTCACAGTGACCCAGCAGGACAAGGGTCGAACTGCTCCTGTGGGTTTCTGAGACTGAAACCCTGTACAGGTGTGGAAAGCCTCATCTTTCTCCCTCAGAACAGCTTGGGGGTTCAAACTGCTGACCTTGTGATTAGCAGCCCAACTTGTAAGAGGGTCCTTGCAGAAGTAGAATTCGCTAAGGATCCTGAGGTGAAGTCATGCTGAAATTCAGTTGGGTTCTACACGTCACTTGATGACTGGTGTCCCCGTGAGAAAAGAGGCAGAAGCCAAGACTGAAGCGATGAGGCCACAAGCCAAGGGGCACCTGGAGCCCCAACAGCTGCAGCCAGGACGGTGCCTTCCGTCCGAGATCTCAGAGAACATGGCCCAGCCACCAGGCTGACTCCAGAACTCTGCTCCCAGGAACGGAGAGAATGACTCTCTGGTGTTTTAAGTCCCCCCACCCCCAATTGGTGTCATTTGTTAGGGTGGCCTTAAGAGCCTAATAGGGTGGGGCAGACAGACAGTAAAGAACAGCGTGACAAAATGGAGTGGGGAAAAAAATATCAACCATTACCAACTGCTCTGACAAGGATCGAAAGAAAGTTCTAGAGGAGTGGAAAAACTCAGCGTCCCGAGAGACCAGGCTGGCTGGTCTGATAGACTGGCGGGAGGCCAGGACAGGGCCCTGAGTCACCCTCAGGCTAGGCGTGGAAATGAACTCAGCCGAACAGTAGACAGGTCTGTAACAAGAACAATAGCACTCGGGAGGTCTCACACCTGGGAAGAATCAGCTGGTTGAGATCAGGGGACAAGCACCAAGTCCAGAAGGCCTGGGTGAGGAGGGGGCGTGGAGGCAGGAAACTGTGGGTGGTGGGGTGAGTGACATCACAGAGGAGATTTGCAACCACTGAGATGAAGAAATGGGAGTTGCTGAAGGTAACAATGACGCCGCTCTGCAAACCTCCTCCCTATTCACAACAAACAAGGTTGGAAGACACCTGTGGAATTTCTCCACGAGCTTTTGGAAGCCTCCTTGCATACACGGATGAACAAAACAAGAGGGCTTATCCATGAGGAAGGGAGGCCCATTGGAGGCAGGGAGGGAGCCATGAAGATACGTCTGAGAGAAGGTTCTAGATGGCGGCCTTGGCGCTGGAAGAACCACATGTAAGCCCTTTGGAGAGAGCAGGGGATGAGGGAGGAGTCGGAGGGGCTGCTGCAGGTCCAGCTGAAGAGCACCCAGATTGGGGCTTCCACAGCCTCACACTCGGGGGCGAAGGCAGCAGGAGCAGGCAGGTGAGGAGGAGGGGAAGGGCCCGGCACTAGAGTGCCCGGGGATGATTTCTGAACGCGTCCTGAAGGTGCAATGAGCAGAACTGATCGTGGGTGGCCTGAGGGCCATGCAGTAAGAGTTCTTGGGGACAGGCCAGCCATCTCTGAGGAGCCGGCTCCGACCTATGGCCCCAAGACGGAGAGGTTGGAGAAGGTGAGGGTGGGAAGGAGGACTGCTCAGCTGTGGACCTGTGAGGCTGAGCTTGGGAGCAGGGTCTCAAAAGAGAGGCGGAGGCAGGGTCCAGGAACCCTGATGCCAGAGGCTGGGCAGGAAGCTCACGGGAGGCGGGTAGACAGTCAAGAAGTGTTCCCAGAAGATATGGCCACACGCACCCAGGAGGAGGTGCTGGTGGCTGCTGCGTGGTGGACTGATGAGGGACTGAGAGAGACTATAGTGAGGTGGTATCGGGTGCATCGGGTGCCGGACTCTTGTTGAGAACTCAACCTGGGCTGCCAACAAGGCCTGCGACGTGGGGGAGAGAGTGGGTCTCCTGTTTGCAGGGCACAGTGACCAGTGCCCTGCTGTGCTAGGAGACTATGGACGTCCCTTCTGGGGGCTCCCACTTGTGCAGGGTCCCTGTCGCTGGGGAGCCAAGGGGTGAAGTGTTATCTGCTAGAAGGGACCTCACTCCAGAACAGGGTGGGTGGAACCCCTGGGCCCTCCCAGCCTCCTCACCCAAGGCACCCTTCTCTACACAGCCCACAGAACAGCCCCCGCCCCCCAGGTCCCTCAGAGCCGGCCCCAGTCAACTGTGCCAGTTCCCCGCCCCACCCTGGCCTTCCCCCCAGAGGCTTTTCAGTTCCCCAGTCTGCCTGGCCTGATGACACCCACTGCTTCACCCGCTGGTTCCACTTTCTAGAGGGCTGGCTCCACCCACCCCAGCCAGAGGGGTCTGCCCAGTCTCTGGTGCAGTCCACTAGTGCCCTGCCTCGACCTTCAGGGAGGGTCAGAAGTAGGCTTCATCCAGGGGTCCCCTCACAGGCTACCCAGGGAACTCTGCCACCGTGGGAGCTGGCCAATCAGGATCCAGACACGGCCCATCAGCCACCCAGCTCACCACCCACCAGGGTCCTGACCAGCCATCTCTCCGCATCACAAAGCCGCCCATCCTCCAACAAGAGGCCGGTTTCCACATCTGAGAGGAGGGGCCAGCAGGACAGTGGCACACATACAAGGGCTGGTCACCACATTCTGGGCAAGGGGCAGTGGCCTGGGCATGTCCAGTGGGGAACCCCGATCCCAGGGTCCAGGGCCAGCCAGGCCTGGGCTGACCACAGCCCCAGGCTTGGCTCTGCTACAGAAGGAATATAATTAGTCGAGCAAGTCCTCTTCCTTGAAGGCACCCGCTGCTGGAGTGGAGAGTCTCCACTAGCCCTAGACCTCCCTCCTTGCAGTGGGCCCCCCAGCCACTGTGGCCAGATGCTAAAGTTCACATTCAAACTCAAACCAACCTTATCACCAAGACCATTCGAACCCCTGGCGACTCCATAGGGCAGCGTACAGCTGTCCCCACGGGGTTCCCAAGGCGGCCACATGATTCCCCTGCAGAGCTTCTGGGGGAGGGGAGGATTGAACCATGGACCCTTTCCGTTCGCAGCTTAAGCAACGTTCCACACCCCAAACCAACCTCACGGGAACCCTACAGGACAGGGCAGAGCTGCCCCTACAGGGCTCGTGGGGGGTGGGTGGTGGGTGGGTGTTGTACATCTTCATGGGAGCAGACAGCGACCTCTCCTTCCTCAAACTGCAGAGCCAACAGGGGCAAAGTCCACATTAAGAAACCAATCTGTGGGCGTGGCCAGAACAGGGCAAAGCCGGGCTGCCTCAAGCCACCCTCTCAAATATTAACTGCAGCTGGGCAGTTTCGCTTCTCCATTCCCAAGAGCTGCAGGGGCTGGGGGCAGGGGGCACCTGGCAGCCATCTTCCTCTCCCCTCCAGGACAGTGTCCCCGAGAGCCCTTGGCCTCAGACCGTGAACGAGGGGAGCAGCTTCGAGGGCTCCCGGCCCCTGGGTGGCTGGCCAGAGGCCGTTGTGCTCCCACCTGCCATGGCGCTGGTGCTGCCGTGGGCCCAGCAGGAGCCGCAGTACTGCGGGATGTGCTGGTTCCGGGTGATGCTGGCATAGTTGACGCCTTTCACGTTGCGCCAGTCCCAACTCGGCGGCAGGTCCTTCGGGGACAGGTACTCGTGAGGCCGGGGGTAGGTCCTGGGGAGCCACCGGACACAAAGTCAGTGCTGACACCATGCACACAGGGACCCCCTCCCCACAATGCGCCCTGGAGGGCCAGGATCACCCACTAGCACCCAGAGCTAGGAAGGAGGGGGTCCCCCCCAGTGAGGAACTGAGGGCGAGTTCCCCACAACGAGGGGGTGCTGGGGACAAAACACCCACAAGTGAGTGAACAGGGGGAGAAGGGCTTCCAAAGTGAGGGGCCTGGGGCAGGGCGCAGGGGCTCCCCAGGGCCTGGGCCGCGCCAGGCCCGCAAACGCCAGGGTGATCGCCAACCACGGGGTGGCCCTGACCCCAAGGTCAAGCGAGGCGGGT